CTAAAATGGTGAAGGGTCTGGAAACCAAGCCCTATGAAGAACGACTTAAGGAACTGGGTATGTTTAGCCTGGATAAGAGACGGTTAAGAGGTGATATGAACACCCATAGGTTTGCGCATGCGCCGAGTCACGACCGCCATTTTGTTTTCCAAAATGGCGGCCGTGGCTCATTTGCGCATGCACAGCAATACTGTGCATGTGCAAACGAGTCGCAGCTGCCATTTTGGCAAACAAAATGGTGACCGTGACATGCGCGGTGGCAACATGGCGGCAGCGGGGGTCAGCGGCAGGGGTTGGCGGGGGCTGGTTGGTGGGGGTTGGCGGGCCTGGAGCAGTCCGCAGGCCGTAGGTTGCCAACCCCTGCTTTAGGATGTTTAAGCACTATTAGACTAGAAAGTACATGTAGCCCCCACGGGTGTTTTTATGGCCCTCCACACACCCAAAGATTTAAAAAATGAAGCAAAAGATTAGTTATTTAAATGCAGGTTTGGGCAAGGAAATCCCAAATTGGGTGTGGGTATTGTGAAGACAGTCTAAATCCAATTTGGGGGTTTGGCCATGCATCATGTACCCAGGACACAGTGAGCCCAGGGAAAATTTGGGTTAACACACCCATGTAGACAAGGCCTAAGAAAATCCTATAAAATCAATGAGTTTGCCATAAGTCAACAGGCGACTGGAAGGCACGTACACATATACAGTCTAACAGAGTAGCTTAAAAATGCTATAAATAAAACAATGATGCAGCAGGAAAATCCAAAATCCAAGATGATTTCTAAATCACAGCCCAGGATCAAATTGCACTGCGCTGATGGTTTCTGCTTTAGGAAAAAACAATTTTGATAAGGGGACCAGAGGCAGCTTAATAAGTCTCCCCAATACTTTAACAAGGCAACCATACACAGAGAGACCGAGACAGGTAGGTGATTTCTTTCCCATGTAGAAGAAATTTAACATGTTTCTTTAGCCATTAGGGAACTCCAGAATTTAATCCATGTACATTGCAGAGCATTTTAACATGTTGGGGTGCTGTTATGTTAGTTGTCAACATGGGAAAATGGGATTGATGGAGAAGAAAACGTGATATAATAACTTGCTTAGTATGCAAAGGGATATTGTTATTTTATTATTATTCTTTTTTGTTGTAACCCACCTCGATCCGCAGGGAGAGGCGGACTATAAATAAAATGTATTATTATTGTTGTTGTTGTTGTTGTTGTAGCACCTTGGAGACTAAATGAAAGAAATATTGATAGCATGAGTCACATGCATCTGAGGAAGTAGGCTCGAGTCTACAAAAGTTCATGCTACCAACTTCTTTCAGTTAGTCTCAAAGGGGCAACAAGATCCCTTTGCACACTGATTTTCTGACTAAGTATTGAATAATACTTTGTTGACATGTTGCCTGCAAGTGCCATGTTTTCTTGCTGGCTCCTGCACATGTGTTCTTTGGGGATAGTTGCCTTTCCAAACCTGGCACTTTCCAGATGTGTATAGATCTCACAATCTGACTCCTGGTTGAAGATGGTGGAACCCAACTCATCTGGAAAGTAAAGGTTAGAGACACCAGTCTTCAAGCAGAGCCTCTAGCAAGCTGTACAATTATGTTTTGCCACTGATGTGCCTCATCTTTTCTATTATTTCCAAGGCCACCCCCCTGGCAAAATGTATGCTTTTCACTAACCCTTCAAATAGTTTAAGAGAAAAAAATGACATAAAATAATCTGTCCAAGTTCCTCTAAAAATAAACTTTACAAATATTTTTTTTAAAAAAATAAACAAGCACAAATTGTTTATTATGCCCAAACCAGGAACATTGTTAGCACTTGTGTTACATTTGAAATGCAACTGCATTGTGCTCTTACTGACAAAATTTAATTGGAGAAGGCTGGACTTTGCTTTCCTCAACTCCTTTCTCTACTTTTTCCTACTTCATTTTATTTCCGTCCGAGAAAACGCCACTCACCTAGAAGAGCTTCTCATAGCATTTATCACAATGGACAATGTCCCGGTGAATGAAGATTTTATCCAGGAGGTCTCCCATTGGTTTGTGGCAAATGCCACACTGTGGAAAGACAGTAAGAGATAAGCTACAGTTCTATTATGTCAAAGATGGGTGTGCATACATATACAACATATACAACAGGTTGTGACAGACAAAACGGAAATACAGTGAGCCTTTATTATCTATTGGGTTTTTCCCCCAGCTTCTCTTACCCTGAATACCAAAATCTGTGGATGCTCAAAACCCATTATATACAATAGCATAGTAAAATATTGCCCTCCTATATAAAATAGCAAAATCAAGGTTTGCTTTTTGGAATTCATGTATTTTTGGAATAATTACAAGCCATGGATAAATATATTGTAACTTGCATTGAACCCTACCTGTGGGAGAAAGGTGGGATATAAATCCTGGAAATATATATAGATAATAGATAGATAGATAGATAGATAGATAGATAGATAGATAGA